ATTTGAGTACCCACATGCATTTTCATATATTTTTCATATATACATATATATATAATTTATATAAATATATGAAAAAATGATGTGGGTACTTAAATGAAAGGTCTTGATGAGTGTAACAACGGGATGAGCTTATATATTTAAAAATTTCAATAGTTCACAAGGTACAAGGTCATTTCTTAATTATGTATTTAGAAATAGAGCATTTTCGAATGCAGCCTAAATACTTATCATCATAAATTGACTATTGGTGAGAATGATATGAAACCATGAAAAAACACAACTCCAGGTCAAAACTTTTCCAACGATACCAAATTTAACTATAAAACTTTTACTTTACTCCGTAAAATAGCATAATATCAAAAAAAATATACTTTAAAATATTTATTTCTACGTGTTTATATTTAAAATCTAATATCGTACAAGCCTGAAACTAAACAATCAAATTATATTAATTAATGAGAAATTTCAAGAAATAGATTTACACGTTTGATGGTGTAAAATTTAGAATTCACACCGTTTAAATTTAACATTACACTTACTGTGATTTTCACACCGTCCGTGTTAAAAATTTTTACACCGAATCATTTACACCACACCGAGTCCAAAAAATTTTTTACAGTGTAACTACTATATAGCTTCTAAACATTTATTACTGTAAATATTTAATAACTTGTTGTATTTATTATATTAAGTTAATTTATGTTTTATTTGATTTCAGTCTAATTGTAAAATAAACATTAATTTGTTCAATTTTAATTAATATCTAATATTATTTAGTGTTTCATAAATTCTTTACTGATAATACACCGATACGGAGTTACTGTACACCGCTGTAACACCGATTTAACACCGGTAACACCGATTTAACACCGAATTTTTAACACCGCCGAGAACCATTTTAACACCGGTGTTAATTGACCGGTGTTGCACAGCGGTGTTAAAATGAGTCCATTTTAACACCGCTTTTTTTACAGTGTAGTTCCCCGGGTTCTGATAACTGGAGTTTGCGTATTTTTGGCCGATTACGTATTTTAAAAAAATATTTAAAATTAAAAAACCAATAAAAAATGTTCTTATCAATTTTTCGATAAAATGAGTATTTTCGGAAATATCGCGAAAAATGACAAGTAGCGGTCGGACCTCTCTCTCGCGCGCACACATCCATGGACTCTATTGACAAACGACAAGCAAAAAGAAAATATAAAGACGAAAAAAAATATAATGCTCGGTGTCCATAAAAAAATGAAAGATGAATGCGATGTGCACCTTAAATAGACACATTCTAGAGTGTCAAAAAATTAATAAGAGTTCAATCCACCCCATGGACACGAAGAAACAGCCCCATAACTGGAGATTTTCACCTAATTTTACAGATTTTTGACATTTAAAAATTCATTTCTGTGTCCACTGGAAATTAAGAAAAAAAAACTCAAGGACATTATAGCAATCGTATAACTGCTATTTTTAGTGAGTGCAAGCTAATTTTGGTATCAAATAATTTATTTTTCTTTGTATTTTATAGATAAAGCTATAAAACTAATGATGAAATGAATTTTTAAGTCAAATTTCAGTGAGATTAGCTGAAAATCGCCCCTTATAGGGCTGTTTTTTCGTGTCCATGGGGTGGATCGATCGATTATGGGTCTGAAAATATTTTCTAGAGTATACTCTATAATGGCTACATTAAAATGTGAAATTCTTACGATAGAAATTTAGTAACCTTTCTTGATATTTTTTACACATGATGATCTTTTACGTGCAAAATGACAAACAGTCAAGCAGAATTATTAATTATTATACTTTATGTACGTCTTTATTATATAATTATTATAAATTTTTCAACCTTTGCATATAACTTTTATAATTTTGAAATAAATTTTTTTTTTCAATATAATTACTGAACTGTAACATTCGAATAATAATAAATGTCATAAACTAATATTAAAATCACGACTTTACGGTTTGAAATAGTATTTATTATAAATTGATTACTGTTTTTTATAAATCCATTATGGTTTATTGTAGTATATTTTTTTCTGTAAGTAAATTTTTTCTTCTGTGTGGAGCTGTATCATAAATATTCAATATAGAATACTTATTCGACTGTTCTTTTGATAATTTAATTTTGAAAATGCTCAGTAAAGCATAATGTTGTGTATTGACATGCTATGTTAATATTTAAATTTAACAAATAATTGATAAAAGACGTTAATTTTTTAATTCCAGACGCTCGGACGACCAATTGGTTTTTAATGCATTCACCTTTTCCAACGTTAATAATATGCCTGAGTTATGTTTACCTTGTAAAAGTATTAGGACCAAAACTGATGGAGAATCGCAAACCATTTCAACTAAAGAAAGTTTTGATCGTTTATAATTTATTTCAAGTTATATTCTCAACATGGATATTTTACGAGGTAATTAAAAATTTTCAAGTTTGTTAAACTTTAAATTTATTGATTTTTAATACAACTCAAAGATATTTCAACATAATATTATATTTATTAAAAAAATTTAACTGATAATCATATTCCAATAATCACATGCCGATCATTTATTTACATCATGTCAAATTTTAATTAATCAGCTTTAAACATTTGTGCCATTGATACTTGGCTCAATATTATTAAATATGAAAGAAGTGAGCAAATAAATTCGTTCTCATTATTAATATACTTGATCTTAAACAATTCGACGTGGAGTTGCAAAAGTTTAGCTTTAACAATCTGATTGTAAATAAAAAAAAAAAAATGATAAAGAGCTAAACTGTTATTTCGTAGGACCTTTGTTAGTGGATTTCAAAGTATAGTTAACTGGAGTAATTATTGCGTAAAACAAAATTTGATGATTAAAAGTTGATATTATCTATAACGAAATTAATCTTGGGAATTATAATCTAGAAATCATAGGTCAGCTAAAGTGTAATGATCATTAATTTAAAAATAAGTTAATTAAGGGAATAAAAAAAATTTTATATATTCAATTTTTTTTCATTAAATTAACTTAGAGGATTTCTAGTTGTTTTATTACTTTGATTTAAATTTCTTAATTCATCTGGCAAAAGATTAGAATATTTAATTGCAACATAGTAAAGATTTTTAAAATATTTTGACCTGGTCAACTTAAGAAATCTTTTAATGAAACATTCCCTAACATTTTTTTCTATCTAGCATTTTTGAGTTATTTTCTATAAGTAATAATTGCAAGAAGCGAGCTACAAAATTTGAAATCACTTAAACGCATTATACGATTTACAAAAAAATGATAATGATGATGATGATGATGATAATAATTAATGACCAGCAATATCGTCTTATTATCAAACTTAACCATGATAAAATTATTTGGAAATATTTTTGTTTAAAATTTTGGAAATAACACAGAGTCTGATGGGAGGCTGGTGGGGCCACTATAGTTTCCGTTGTCAACCAGTGGACTATTCAGACAATCCAATCGCGATAAGAGTAAGTATATAACTGTTTTATGTCTTCAACAGGGCAACACCCCGTGATATCACAGATGATCATCTAACTGATCACCTTAATAATCTTATGATCTATAATTTTAAAAATTCCTATAGGCTGGGATCTTGCCGATCTTGGAAATTTCATGGAAACTACTGTAGTTAGCGGCTTTATGATGCTTTTTTTTCTACAGCTATTTCAGAGGATTTAAAAAAATTCTTATCTTTCGATAATGTACATTTTAGAAATAATAATCATTACTAACCAATTTTACAGCTGCATTATAACGTTATTATAGATTATTACTGGGGATTCGTAGAATTTATGATGCAATAAATAATAATTATAATCGATTAATTCATCGCCGAACTTACTCAACATTGGGCTTAGACTACAGCGAAATAAATTCGCATCATGGCTGTTACTTCAGAATGTTATGCGTTATTAAAATAAAATATGAAATTTTTTTAAGCGTTTGATTTTTTTGTTTTGAGTTGTAAATATGTAGACGTTAAAAAATAATAATGTAGTATTGAAGAAATAACTATATCCTAGTGATATGACTTTATGCATATGCTATAATATGGTGATGGTATTTAAATACATTGTCTGATCGGAAAACGACACCTTGCTGGTTGTGGTTACAGATAGGAATGTCCGGATGGCTGACGGGAGATTACTCGCTAAAGTGCCAACCTGTAGACTACAGCGACCGACCTCAAGTACTGAGGGTGGGTGTCCTGGATTTAAAACTATCAATCGAGAAAATGAGAACAGCTTGATTTGTAACATATCCTAGAGTAGTTTTTATATAACTTGCTTTAACTTTTTGGTGCACACAAAAAATTCATATTTTGGATTCTCAAAAGTAAATGTGCTTCAGGCTATTAACATACGAGGTAACTGGTCAAGTACGTACCAGTCGTCATTATTTTCTCTCTCTATCTTATTTTTCATTATACCTAATTAAAAGGATTTTTTTGAAAAATAAATATATAAGAGTTATTCCTTTTAAATTTTTAGATAGGAATTGTTTTAATTTCATTTTGTTCAGTATTTTTATTTAGATATTATCATTATAGTTATTTTTTTAAATATTTGCTTGGAGTAACAGACAAGTTCAAATAAAGAAATTTTTGTGTGAAATGCAACTAACATACAATCGCGTTCATTAATTCGAGTCGGTTTCTATATTTAAAGATTTATTGCCAACCTTAAATTCAAAATAATTAAAAAAGAATTAAATTATATGTAATGGATTTATGAATTTTTCATTAAAGACGTTAAAATTTGTATATTGCTATTGAATCAAGTAAATAATTTTGAAGAACTTTATCTTCTTGATTTGAGTAGAAAATTTCTTAAAATAAGAAATTTTTTTTTTGATTTAAGTAAATTTTACTTCTCTTGATGGAAGTTAATTTTTTTTTTCAGTATACTAACATGTTTCGTTGACAGTTAAAACTACTTTGCTATTATTAATAGTTGAAAACTTGCGATTTTTTAGTTACGAACTTTACTCAAAAAGGAGACGAAATTTTATAAATTAAAATTTAGCAAAAATACATATTTTTTTTAAGAGAGGAGAATCCGTCCGATGAGGCACGGGGCAGGTACCCGTGCCCCGTGTGTATGAAATATCCGTGTGTACGGATGTAGTATATGCATAGACCCGTGCCCCGTGCCTCATCGGACGAATTCTCACTTCCTTTTTTTAATTCATATTAAATTGACGAATAATGAAAGTGTCTTTTAAATTGTTCTACTTTAAATGCTCTTTGAAAAAAAAAATATCTGTTGCCATTAAAATAATATTGAATAAAGTCTCGATAAGAAATTTCACATTTGTTAATGTTCAATTTATTCAATTACTTGTAAAAAAAAATTATAAATTTTGACAATTAAAAACTGACTAAAATATGCATTCAAATGGCTCAAGTGTGTCATTTAGCTGCTGATAATTTTTTACAATTATAATGTTCTCCATGTATATCCTTTTTAGATTTTTGTGATAAATTAACATCTTTATTGTTTTCACAACCATTATCTTTTAAATAGCTCTCAAACATTTTTAAGCTGTTTTAGCGCTACCTAATTATTCTGTTACATCAATCAAATTTACTATGTGAATGAATTTTTATCTTATTGAGATATTTTTTCAATTTTTTAATCTTAAAATTCAAATGAGTATTTGGAGCTAATCTTTAAAAATCTTAAAAATTTTTGGGTATTATTATTAACTAAGTACATATGGGGCCTTCCACGCTAAATCAACCATAAGTTATTTGTTGTCAAAGTTATGAATATTTGAAAATGATACAGGCTTTTTCTATACAAAAATTCGTAACTTTTTTTGATTGGGTAAGTAAATTAGAAAAAATTTTTAAAAATGCCTTTAGCGAGGTCGGAAACAGAAAAAATTTATCAGTGAAATCAAAAAAGGTTTGATTCAAAATCAATCGATTTGGTGTGGAATGCCCCATATGCGTTAATCTTTAACAAAACAAGTTATATTTGAAGAAAATTATAACCTTTCATTCAATTGTTAAAAAGCAAATATTATCATAAAAATAATTATAATATGCTCCTTGCAAATTATATTTGAAAATTTTCATAAGAAAAACTCTTGATTATTTCAAAAAATTCTTTACATTTAAATTAATGGATTTAACTTATGGTTGATTTTCACATTAATAATAGTAGTTTTTCAAATTGCACCTCATAAACATAGCACATAATATTTTTATGAATAAAATCGAAATATTTCTATTAAACTAAATCTCGGTAATTGCGTAATCATAAATTTTTAATAATTCAACAACGTATTAATATATATCTTATTAAAATCTAGATGGTCCATGCTAGTTGGTGGTACTACTTTTCAAAATTTACAGAGTTTCTTGACACGGTAAATATTAATGTTTCAATAATGGCTTTTTTTTTTTTAATACAAAAATTTTATTGAACATTCCACAGATATTCTTCGTTCTTCGGAAGAAGAATAATCAAATATCGACTCTTCACGTAATTCACCATGGGTGTATGCCCATGTCAGTATGGTTTGGAGTTAAATTCACTCCCGGTAAATTATTATGTTTCATAAAGTGGTGCAAAAAATAACCTATAGTATTTATATATGAATTTCTCATGAAAATATGTAAGCTCATGATGCTTTGAATGTTATCTTCGAAAATCAACTCGAGTAAAAAAATATTATGAGTTTCTTAAGTTGCTCATGATTTTGTTTAATTTTTAAAGTAATGTACTCTATTGGTGTTTTTAAGTGACCAGAATTTACGGCAGATCTTCGGATTGAGTTAAATAACTTTAATCATCTGGTAAAATAAAATGTGCAAGCTTGAAGCGCTAGTTTGGAGTTTGCAAAAAAACAACAATTTCTCTACTTAGAACCTTGACGTTATTTACAATTCCTTGATAATTTTATATGAAATTTCAATAAAAAAAATTATATCCTGCACGGAAAAAAATTACGATTATCACCCCGTAATTCAAGACCAGACTTTCTATCTCAGAATTTACTACTTAAAGATGAATTTTTAGGGCTTAACGACGTAAAAATTCGTATGCAAGTAGTAAGTTTAAAAATGTAAAATTGTGTACATTTTGTGTACCGAAGTAAAAAAATATTTGAATTCGGGTCTTGGATTACGATGTGACAATCGTAATTTCTCGTACAATTTTTTTCCGTGTGTAAATTGGTGGCATGGATAAGAAAATCCGTATAACGATTGACCCTGCAGGCCATTCTTTGAATTTTTCACTACATTCGAGCAAAAAATTCTCGAAAAGTTTTGCATGATAAATTTTTGAGCTTGTCGAGCTCAATAATTCAACTCATATTCATTTCGAGCACTTTGAGCTTGAAAATGTACAAATTACTGACTTACTCATTATGAGATCTAATTATTTAAAAGATAAGTAATTATTTAAAATAGGGTAACATAGACACACACACACGTGCGCGCGAAAAAATCGTCAGGGAAGCTTCCTAGGACGAAACCAATATCTTCCCGATTTTCGAAAATTTTAAATTTTCTTAACGGGAAGTTAAAAAGTATAAGAAATTGATTTTCTTTACAATTCGAGTTGAAAATCTGTTAAAATTTTTCCGTGGATAGTATTTATTTTATACAAGTTAAACGCCCACATGCATCCTGGCAAGTTAATCAATAAAAGAAATAATGCAAAACTGTGTTATATATCAACGGCGATCAGCTGGCTACATAATTAGGTATAGTATCAGCTATTTTACGGTGGTATCTACGAATACATTAGATAGGTAGCCTTACCCCCATGGAAAAAATATTTACTGGTTACTGGAAAAAACATTAAGATGAGTAAAGTGTAGTAAGTACTTGAGAAGTTGGAGAATTTTGAGCGATTTTAACACATAAATTGTATTTTTGAGCTTGAAGAGCTTGAAAACGTCAAAAGTGCTATTTTAAGCGCCTAGGTATGTAATTATCGGAAAGTTGCAGGGATGGCCATCAGGGTCAATCTTTTTCCTAATTTTTTTATCTATCATTAGCGGTAAAAAAACTTCCTCAAAAATAAAAAAAAATCCAATTTTTGATGTTTTGGAAATGTTTTAAAATCTTAAGAGAAAAATTTAATCAAGCTGATTCTTGAAGGAAACTTTTGACCCATGGTATACTGACATGTTTTCATAAAAAATCTGAAAAGATAGTTAATTTTTTGTGCCACTTAAATATTTATTTATTGAAGTAAAAATGAATGTACAACATTGGTTACAATAATAAATGTATACTTTCGTAGGTGGCCATTCAACGTTCTTCGGTTTGCTCAATTCATTTGTCCACATCGTCATGTACACTTACTACCTCTTAGCAGCTCTTGGACCCCAAGTACAACCTTATCTCTGGTGGAAAAAATACCTCACAGTCTTCCAAATGATACAATTTATAGCCGTTATGATCCATGCATTCCAGTTACTCTTCATTGAATGTAATTATCCAAAGGCGTTTGTGTGGTGGATTGGACTTCATGCAGTCATGTTCTTCTTCCTATTCAATGAATTCTACAAGCAACAATACAGTGATAAAAAATCAAGCATTCGAGCTAAGAATGCAGCAGTTGCAGCTGCGAACGCTGCTACAAGTAACTGCATGCCTAATGGTCTGTCCAATGGCAAGAGCCATGTAACTTCTAATGGGACAAGTTCACATAGTGGTGCTGAAAATGATGTTAATCTTCGAAAGCCATACAAGATAACAGAATGATCGGATCGTCACGACTATGTATAAAGAAAAATATTCCACAACTTATGAGTTTTCATCCATAATTTATCGCTCGACTTTCTCGGTTAAATCACTGGAAAATTATAGTGTCGATGCTTCTTTATATCTTTTCCATCAGCTGTGAGAAAAAAGATCCGCATTCATACATCTTTATGGATTTATATTATAGAAAAAAACAAATTTTTTTTAAATGTTAAACGTAATCGGTGGAATTAAAAAGTTTAACAAACATTGACTTGTTAAGAATATTTAGAATTATTTAATTCTTTGACGCGTTCATAATAATCAGTTTATAAAAATTATGAACTGGTTATTATGACTTATAGAACATTGTCAATTTATAAAATTTTGTACATTAAGGTAGAATTTTTATCAATTTACATTTAGATCGAGAAAAAAAAATATACTATTTTGTAACGTTTTACATGTACTAACACCAAAACGATAAGGTAAAAAAAATTGTGTAAATAGGTAGATTAGTTTTCATTAATTGTTATGGATATAGAAATTAGGAGAATATGAAATGTAATTTTTATGATATTTTTAATCATTGATCAAAAAAAAGTTACTCTGCTACTGTGTTGGAGTTAAATATATTTTTAACATAATAGCAGAGCCAACTTATCTGTCTGTGTGATCAATGATAAATAAAAAATCTTAAATTTTCTAATTTATATGAAAAAATAATTATTTAAATGAAACGATGGCGCGATTACATAATATTTTCACTTATAAGTGGCCTTTGTCTATATAATAACTCAATAAGTTCCAAATGAGTTAAATAAAGTTTTTAATAAAATAGGGATAATTATTTTCAAGTTACAAATTATGTATTTTTAATTTATGAAAATTTATATTTGTATATATATGAAATCGAAGATATTTTTGGAGAGCAAATGAGATTTGTTTACCTATTCTCTAAGTACTTGAAGTTATTTTGTTGCAATGATCTTAGTTTAGGTAAACTTATTTTGTTGTTGATTAATTTAATTTATCATTCTCAAGTATCGGGTTGAATAATTACATAGCTGTAAATTCGAGGACTATTCGACCAATAACTATTTATCTATTTGATAATTGATCTAAGACAATTCAATTAAAAAGTTGTCTTCCTGTCATTTTGGTTCAAATAATATTTATTAGATATTGTGTCGAAGGTATTTCTTCGCTTTTAAATAAACTGTGATTTAGGTCAATTTTCGTGTGAGTAAAAGGTTGCAGATCAATTGTCCTCGGATCATCAGTCTTGTAACCGTTGAACTTATTATGCTCATGAATTAAATGTTAAATTTTTATATTAATCACAATTTATGTAAACATCTTACAATAGACATACTGTTTTAATAAATTGGTATAAATAATTTAAGCTGCCAAAATATTAAATGAACAGTTAAATTTATATTAATTTTTAGATAATCTAAAACAATTAAATAAAATTTTTTCTTATATTTTATTCATGTCTTGAGTGAATTTCCAGTTCATAATCTCCCTTTCATTTAACGATGTAATTAACTTAATTGATAGCAATCATAATATTACAAAAGTTCTGTCAGTATTATTCATCAAAAAATACATAACTTTTTTTGTCAAATAAATAATCGATTTTTTACACTGAAAAAAAATTTTTTTTCCATTTCTTGTGTGTTAAATCAACACATGAGAATGTGAAATTCTGCATACTAGAGTGTAATATTCTACATACAAATTATTACACTTTACACAATGACGACAAATTTTCTATACTGTGATGGCAGATTTTTGCTGGATGCTAAAAAGAGAAATACCAGAAGAAAATAGGAAACGTAAGAGGAACCCACTGCGTAGGTGATTTGAAGATAAAAGACTTCGCTACAAACGAAGGACAGTCTGAAATTCGAAAATATAGTTTCGTAACCTCCTTGCATACTATTTTTTCCAGATTTTAAAATTTTGTTAATTTTTCAATTCTAAAATCATATTCTATTCATGAAAATACACCCAAGTCATTAACAATCGTATTTAATAGATTTTTTTTCTCATATTTGTAACTGCAATTTTCCCAATTATTTTGGTTTATTGAGATTTTTAAAAATTTTGAAACATTAATGGGACAAAATACTTTAAATTCAAATTCAGTGGAACAAAATACGTAAAAATCATACTCAATCTAAATCCAAAATATTTTTTTTATCTCAATAATTTCGATTTTTATGATTTATTGCATTTTTTTGGTTTTTCGCAATTTTTTCAAATTTTGACGGCTCAACGGGCTAATTAACGTTCAGATTCAGATTTTGTGAATTGGTTAACATAAAAATCATACTTGATCCCGGGTCAACAAAAATTTTTTCATCACTGTGACTGCAGATTTTCGCAATTGTTTGTTTGCCTTATTGTTGGGTTTTTTTGCATTCTACTCAAATCTATAGGGTGACCGGGTCAAACGGACTTCAAATTCGGATTTAACGGGTCGACATACATTAGGGTGTGTCAATTTGAGATGACTTTTTTTTTTCAACGAAAAAACAGGCTGAAAACTTGCATGAAGGTGAGAACAGAAGCCTGTTCAAAGCAAAGCTCTTAATATTAATATTTAGAGGTGTCTGTCCCTAATTTTCCATTTTCCATTTAAATAACATAAGAAAACAAAAATGCGGCTCGAAAAAAAAAAAAATGCAACTCGAAAGTTCAAAAAATAGTGTTCTATGAAACTTTTATCAGACTTTTGACTTGAAGAGCTCAAAAACTTCATTATTGCAATTTTAAGCGCTTAGAAAGTTGCAGAGATGGCCTTTAGGGTCAACCGTTTTCCAGATTTTTTTGTGATAAATAAGCGTTATGAGACGTGCACTTTTCTGATTTTCCAAACCTTTCTTTTCTCTCCGTGTAGAGTAATAAATTGATAATTCCGTTAAACTTTTTAAAGATTAAATTCATTCAACTCGGGTCATGATTTTCTTAGAGTAAATGAAATAAAGAAGAAAAAAATTTGATACATGAGTAATTTTTCTTTTAGCTTTATGAAAATGTTAGCCCATCAGAACAAATTTTACATATAAAAATAATTTTTAAGACAGTAATAAATTAATTTGTATCATTTTAATACTTGAATAATCAAAATTTTATACATTTAGAAGTTTACGTTTGAATATCTTCAGAACGGCTGTCTTTATGATAAAAGTGTAAAGGATCTTTTTTGTAGAGCGTTGAATTCTCTACAAGAATATGATATGGACTTATTTATATGAGGTGCGTATGCCGAGCTAGAAAAATAAACAAAAAAAAGAATTTTTTTTCTTATGTTATTTAAATGGGAAATGGAAAATTTTTTAGCTGTAGGGACAGACATCTCTAAATATTAATATTAAGAGCTCCGCTTTGAACAGGCTTCTGTTCTCACCTTCATGCAAGTTTTCAGCCTGTGTTTTCATTGAAAAAAAAAAGTCGCCTCAAATTGACACATCCTAATATACATGTCCGTAGATGGGTCCCGTCAAATGTACAAACAACTTTTTTTTTGTGTGCCAGTGTAATTAATGGAAGGTATGCCATTGAAAATATGAGAGTAGGGGTGAGACACGCATTTTTGAATTTTAAAAATCTTTACAATCTTTTCCGTATATTTTCAATAGAGTTCAAAGTAGACAATGCTAGCAGTTTCAATCTGAATTGTTAAAATATTTTCAAATTTCAAGGTTACCGGACGATAAAAGTAAAATTTCTAAAGAAATTTACCCTGATAGCCAGCGCTTTCTCAGTAAGTGTTGACTTCCAAAAGTTACGGTTAATTTATCCATCAAGTTGGCGGTAATTCTTCACTCCAACAACAGTTGTAAGCAAATTGACGGAAATCTACGGCCGCAACTTGAATACAAGTTAACAATCAAACTTGTAGGTAAATTTCCTTTCAACTTTACTACAATTTGACGGAAATACTTGTACAGCAAGTTTTGACGTCTATTTGCAGAGTAAGTTATAGGTAACTAATAGGTAATCTCGCTCGCTTTGCCAAGTCTTTCCGTCAAGTTTGCTTCAAATTGCGGACGTAGATTGACAGTAAGTTATAGGTAAGGTGGCTATCAGGGTACTTGAAAATGTGTTATATAATGGTAAAACTGAATCCTGCGCTACTGAGCAGTTACTGTCGGTAACTGACAGTTTATTGTTTTTTGAAATTTAATACCATCCATATCCACTTATGAATTGACGTCACAACTCTGCAGTTATCAATCTATGGATCTTCACGTAAATTTGTTATTACTATTCTAGATACAATCTATTTCTCACTTTATCTCAAATCGATAACATCACAATCATCATTGCTGTATTTTCGAAACAATACAATTATAGACTTGGAAATCAAACGTTGTGATTCCAGGGTGATAAATAGAATTCACAATAGAAATTTTGTTGAAAAATTATCAAAATGGTGTATTGAGTGGGTGAAAATTGTGTTTTTATACGTGTTTTGCGTAAAAAGTATATTGAATATACCGCAAATTCATGTTAGAATTCATAATGATATTGTAGGAAAGACTGATTTGAACAAGAGTGGGAGTAGAACAGGAAAATAGTGGGGACAGAACGTCAATAGAAGCAACGATTGGGAACTGTATAGGGAAACAGGAAGGGTGCAAACACAGAGAAATAGAGACTATGGAAGTGAGGTGGAATAACTTGAACCGCGCGCATATATGAAGAAATGAGCAGGGATGAATCAAGCTACGTCATGGGGTGGTATCGAAGGCGCGTACGGTTAGTGGTAACAGATACGAGAGTGAGTATACTTGGATTCGAAAGTGGGAACGAAAGTCAGGGGTATATTTTGTAAGGGCAGATACTGCCGAAATAGGGGAGGAACGTCACGCGGATAAGGACTTATGATGATGGTCCGAAGGTGCAACCGGCACCGAGGAATAAATTTATAAAATGTGAATCGTGGCTAATGATAATATATATATTTCTCTATTTGATTCCATTAGTTAGAATAGCACTGCGCACGC